TGGAACCTGTACCCTGGCTCCCCGCCTCAGGCCGCGCGCACCCACGTTTCTTCAGAGGGAGACTCGGGGCACCGCTCGAGTTGACTGGCTTCGTGAAGCCTAGATGTGGGGTGGCCTGACCGCCGCGGGGTTTTCCTCTCCGAGCGCGAGGGCAACACCTCAGGTCCGCACCCGAACCTCGAGTCCTCGGCGACCCCGGGTCTGGCACGTCCCGGAGCCGACTCCCTCTCTCCACGTGCGCCCAGCGTCTCCGCCCCCCCCCTCCGCCCGCCGGTCGCCGTCTGTGGAATATTAATTAAATTATTTATTGTTAGAAAGGGTAATGCGTATTTTTCCTGGTGGGTGAGCTATTCCGAGGCTCGGTGCCCTTTAGCGTTCCTGACCTTTTATTTTCGGTAACATGAGGTAATGTCTCTCCTTACTTGACTTTTACCAAAAATTAAACGCCCGACCATACAGTCATTGAAAACGTGACTGAGCCAAAGCCCAAGCCGCACTGCCTGGATTTTGAAACCAGTTGTTGGAGGCAGGTGCTTGCGGCTTGTCATACCGAGCTGCTTTCTCGAGTACTTTCCACGTGTCCTTTTAAAAGGGCAGGTCAGCTATTTATTATGTACGGATAGTTTAGTAGCAGGGTTGGAATTGGAAGGTGTCCAGACCGTGTGAAGAAGGATCGAGGGCACTGTGTCTTTGTAAAGCACCGGGCAGATTAGCCATAAAAGCATTTTTTTCATATTTGCATCTCAGGAGGATGTAGGCTTGGAGTCCATAGAGGGGACATACTTAGCCTTTTGCAACTTCCATTACTTTTCTGCATACAAAATGCTCTTATTTATTAACCCATTTCATCATCAAAACAATTTTTTCTCCTCTGTGGCACAGCCCTTTAATCCCAGCATTAGCAAGACAGAGGCAGGCAGATCTCTTGAGTTCAATCAAGGTCAGCCTGGTCTACATAGGAAGTTCCAGATCAGCCAGGGGTACACACACCCTGTTTCAAAAGAAAAAAAAAAGTTATGTATTATTCATCTCGGTATTAGGAGAAAAATATCAGAGACATTACTTGTAGAATATACAACTGCTTAAGTTAGAGTGAAACCTAGCTTTTCTTTCTAACTGCAGTGTAACTACCTCTCTACAAACACTTAACTCCAAAAAAAAATATATGTGCTGTGGGGTACTCCTTTCAACTTCCTATGGTGTCTGCACGCTTCCTTTTGACACTCACAGTCAAGAGTTCATGTCTTAGATGGGGCGATGGCACAATCCAGCAGTTAGGAGGTGGGGGCAGAAGGATCAAGAATTTAAGGTCATCCAGGTATGGTGTGCTTGCCTTTAATCCCAGCACTGGAAAGGCAGAGGCAGGTGGATCTCTGGTGTATATAGTGAGGTCCAGGCCAGCCAGGGCTGCACACAGTAAGACCTTATCTTAAAACAAAAACAAAAAATATGTAAGAGCCTGAGTGTAAGTTTGATAAATACACTTTCTGTGAGGTGTGGTGGTGCAGGCCTGGGGCCTGGACTAGAGTAAGTTCAAGACTGGCCTGAGCAACTTAGTGAAACCCTGTCTCAAAAAGTGAAAACCTGTAGCATAGAAAGTCTGGGAGAGCGTTGGGGACTTGAGAGGGTTGGAAAGGAGCCCCTCACCCAGGAATCTGGTTGAAGCCTCTTGCCAACAGAGAACCAAGAATTCCAGCACAATTAGCATTTGCTTAAGGCCTTTTTCCCTTCCCAGGTATAAACCGATAATTTTCTGGGAATCTCTGAGAAACCCCATCCTCTAGGAAAGTACATGTACTAAACCCCTTGAGCAATCCTAGTGGCTCCTGGTTTTACCTTATCTGATTGTAACTGTCTAAGGCATCTGGAGCCACTATAATCTCACTTATCAAGAGACAGAAAAGGGTAGGGGGTGGAGTTTCAGGACCTACTGCCAGGGATATATGCCCATAGACTAGTTCTGCCCACAGCCTTGATCAAAGCTTCCCCTCAGTGAATGGTGGTTAATGAAGAGACTCATGACTGGTCAAAATATTGAGAACAAGTGACTCTTCAGTACTCAACCTTAAACAGGACACCATGTCACCACCTCCATGACTCAGAACACTATGGAGGAGGGGTGGAAAGAATGAAGAGTTGAAAGATTGAGGCAGAGGGTTTTGAAATGCTGTCTTATGGGCAATACATGGCTGTAGCCTCCATGAGCTCACAGCAGCTGCCATTATGTATGTAGGGTCTGCAGAAGACCCAGTCCCAAATCAGTCACAAATCAGGGATAGGCTCATGGAGCCCAGCCCCAACCAAGGGAGTTGGAGAGTTGCTGGTAGAGGGAGGTCACTGTCTTCAGTGGGGTAATTGCTGAATGAACCTTGCTCCAGTGGACAGCTGCACACACATGCCCACTTGGGCAGCCTGGTCAAGCCCAGTGGGTCACAGAGTAAAAGCAAAAGACATGAATGTGGGATGGGGATTTTTTTTTAAGATTTTTTTTTTTTTTTCAACATGATGAGTGTTTTGTCTGTGTGTATATAAATGCACCTTTGTGTACAGGGCCTGCAGAGGCCAGAAGAGGGCATTGGATGCCTTGGAATTAGAGTTATGGACAGTTGTTAGTCTCAGGTGGGTGCCGGGAACTGAACCTGAGTCCTCTACAAGAGCAGTCAGTGCTCTTAACCACTGAGCTGTCTTCGAGCCCCTGGACTATGTTCTTATTAAATAAGTGATTCAGAGATTTTTTATACATTAAAAACAAAACAGGCCAGCAAGATGGCTCAGTGGATAAAGTGTTTGCAATGCAAACCTATGTTTGATTCTTAGACCCCCACGTAATTGAGGAAAGAGAGAACTCAATGCTACAAAGTTGTCCTCTGTCCTCCACATGTGCCCCATGGTATGAGTGCCCCTGATAAAATTACAAACAGAAAAAGCACAAAATATGATGAATGTTATTTCTTGGTTTCTAGCTGCAGAGTTTCAAATGTCAGATTTATTCAAGATCTGTGATGCAGATCAGTAAACCCAGCACCTAGAAGCCTACAGCAGAAGAATTACTTCAAATTTGAGACCATCCTGGCCTGCATAGCATATTTCCAAGTTAGCCAAAGCTACACAGTGAGATCCTGTCTTTAAAAAAAAAAAAAAAATCAGGGGCTGGAGAGATGTTTCAGTGGTTAAGAGTACTGGCTGTTCTCACAGAGGATCTGGGTTCAATTCCCAGCACCCAAATGGCAGCTAAAAACTGTCCCAACTCCAGTTCCAGGGGATCTAATGTCCTCCTCTGAACTCCGAGAGCACTGTACAACACGGGTACGTACCAGGGCCACATACATGCAGGAAATACACTCATACACATGAAAACAATAAGTGAAATATTTTTAAAAAATCTAAGTTTAGGGACTGAAGTGAAGAAGTTTGGAATCTTGGCTTCTGACAAGACATAAGAGAATGATTAACACTGTTGTATGATTAACACTTAAATGCTGTTTTAAGTGGGCTGCATGTAGCACCTCCTTTAATTTTTCGCTACAAGGTCAAGGGTGGAAGCATGCCCATAATTCCAGCACTCAAGAAGTAGAAGCAGGAGGATCTTGGGTTTAAGGCTAGCATGGGCTACATAGTGAGACCATGTCCCATAACAAAACTACTGGCTGGGCATGGTGTATACACCTTTAATACCAGCTCTCGGGAGTCAAAGGCAGGCAGATCTCTGGAGGCCAGTCTGGTCAAAATAGGGAGTTCCAGCCCAGCCAGGACTGCACAATGAGACTCTGTCTCAAAACAACAACAGCACACCTACACACACAGACACACAGACACAGACACAGACACACACACACACACACACACACACACACACACACACACACACAAAACCAAAAAAATTTACCCCAAATCTTAAGAAGTAACAATTACCATGATTTCTTCCATTTTGTAGATGAGGAAAGGTTAAATAATTAACTGCAGAGATAGCTCAGCAGTTAAGACGGCTGACTGCTCTTCCAGAGGACCTGGGTTCAATTCCCAGCACCCACATGGTGGCTAACAACTGTCCCATCCTAACCTCCAGTTCCAGGGAATCTGATGCCCTCTTCTGACTGCCACAGGCACTGCATGACACAGGTGCACTTACATACATGCAGGCAATACACTCAATACACATAAAATATAATAAAACTTTAAAAAATAAACTGGTAGACCACAAAAACTAGGATTTATTAAAAATCTGAAATGTGTTTACTGGGATGGTTCCTACTTATCCTGACTAAGGGTGCTTTAGTACTTCCTCCTGGAAGGAGCCCACTTCTGTAAGCCTTGCTTTGCCCACTGTATTGGCTGGAAGAGGAGCAGCCAATGCAAGATGACCGCTTGTGCTGAAGACTATAGGGATTTTGTTGCATCCTGGGAAGTTCACACCCATGTAGGAATCGGGGCTGTCTGCACCAGGTGCTGCTTTTTACATTTTCTCTTCAGGAGAGG